CACAAGTTTTTAAAATATTCTCTATTGTTCAAACAACACGGATATCAGTGTATTGTATACATGGAAATGTAAAATAAATCAAATCAATTCGTAACAGTGACAAAATGACAGTTACATAGCCAGTGTTAACTAAATAAGGAAGTGGATTTTATATAATATACATTATATTAAACGTCAAAAGTAAGCGAAAAAAAAATAAACTTTGTGACGTTTGAAAAAAAATTGATGTTTCATTCACCATTAGTTTTTGATGTGTTTTACATAATAATTGTATCTTTTTGATTTATGTTAAATGTATATATTTAATGTAATACTACCAACTTTTTCAAACTTTATACACACACACACACATAATACAAACACATATATACAGGTATGTAAATTATGTAAATTGAGTTCGTCTGTATTTAAACATAAATAAATATTGAAATTATTATTTAAATAACATTGATACAGCGCACAGATTAAGGAGTGTGGCCATGACAATGTGTTTTGTTTAATTTTTTCCGTATGTAAGCGCTTAATTTAAAAAAAAATAATAATCTCTCCTTCCTTAAAATTCTACTTAGTCTCAGTTGTATGGCTATCGATGTATAGTATATTGTTTGTGGTGCTGCAAGTAAATATGTGTACATAAAAAAAAGAAACTAGAATACGTGATATAATATACATATACCTAATATTATGCTTTAATAAAATATCAAATATAGACGATGATATAATATTTATTTCAATTAAACTCAATCAAGACGTGTTGGCACTCAGCATGTGTGTAAATAATATTGTGATGGAGAATGCTTTTTCCGACAACGTTGCACAATTTACAGGATGCAGGATAATTGGACGGGAGGGGCTGAATCTATTTAATTGGACAGCGGCTTGAAAAGAGATAGTCACTGTAGGTTTCTGAAAGCGAGAAAGAGGAAATAACATATTAATTATGTATATATACTCATAATATACCGTACATAATATTAATGCTTACCTTAACAAAATAGACATCACCAGTAGTAATTTAAGTTCGTCGCCATCTTCTTAAAAATATAAGTAGGTATTATAATTTATATTATAAATATAAATACTAAATATATATAGGTAATATAAATTTCATTATTAATATTGACATGATATGACCACATATTTTATGTTGATAACAAGTAGGTAATAACAATAAATAACACATTGTATATGAAAATATTAAAGATACATAGGTACTCTTATTTATAAAAAAATATTTAAACTTTGTTGAACATGATCATATATTTGTTAGTTTAATGAATTTACCTAATATACAAAAAGGTTATAATGTTGGTAGATACCTATTTAACTATAGTTAAATACCTATTTTTATTTAGTGAAAGGGGGAGGATGTAAAACTATTTTATTTCCTCCAGCTGCAAAATCCTTTTTGCTGTATACCAAACATGTTACTGGTTAACATACACGCGGTAAGATTTAGCCGGTGCATAAGTTCATCAATACCCAGCATCTCACAAGTCTCATTTAGTCATCTCGAGTTTAGCTCGGAGTTGTTAGCTGCAGTGTTAAGTTAATTTTCATTTAAAACAAGTTCTGTGTATAAGATAATACTATGGTCTATGATAATATATAATGATATAGGTATTTTATATGATTTTCCAGTTCTACGTAAATAGGTTAGGTACCTATCAAATTTTACACACGATATTGATACACCTATATTATTAACAATAAATAGATATAGGTATAGGTATTATACCTGTTTGTTATTATGTTGCTCTTTATATAAATAAATGATTAAACTGTATCTAATTGTTTATCAGATGGTTATTAGATACCTACCTACTTATTAGTAAAGTACCTATTAAATATTTATATGAAATTGCAAAAGTAAATAGGTAGGTACTGAAATAATATTAATACATCTAATAAAACGTATATTACTTGTATTACTATTATTTCAACAATTTTATCTCCTACCTCTAGGTTATATCTAAAAAGTAGGTACTTATAATTAGCTCAACTAGAATAAAACCGTATCTACATATTATACAGTATTACTTAATTAATATTCAATAATACAAATGATTATTGTTCTCAGACTCTGTCCTAGTATTATGGAACATTATATTGTACAGCATTAACGTATTACCTATCTACTTAGATGTACCTATTAGTACCTATAGTAATATATGGTCATATGGACACTGCATATTGTAATTGTTTATAGACTAATAGACTTATAGTTGTTATCAGTGATAACTTATAACTTATTACAATGATATTATGACGATGACGCGATATCGTTTTGTTTTACATAAAAATAAACCTATGCATATATGATAGGTACCTATCTACCTAAGTATATTGTATTTATAAAAAAAAATTATTCAAAATAAATATAAATATGTAGATAATATTATATGAATTATGATACAATAATTGGATACCTCGTGTAAATAAATGATAGGTACATCGACATTATTTATGCATGTGTTTCGTAGGTACCTATTGATCTATTATATATATTTTTTTTATTTATTTAAACTTACAATGTGTCAACATATTATATGTTATAACAAGGTATTACTTATATAGGTAATAATGATACGGTTAACAGAAAATAATAGTGATGTTGTGGAATAAAGAATAATGGGAGATAAGATATTATATAAATATAATTTTTAATTATTAAATTTAATTTTAATGTGAATTGTCTGGTTGATAAGATTATAGAATGATATTAGTTGCGAGTGCTTTTAAGACTGATGAAAGAAGGTAGATAAGGGGAGTAATTAGTGAGTTTAAATTTGAAATAAAACTTGAGAGCGTCGGTGATTTTGAGTTCTGCGTATAAATGTTGATGATTTTTGGTGGCTTCGGCGTAAGATTTGGTTTTTTAATTTTAATACCATTAATTTCCATAATAACCAATACCATATGGGTATACCATACTAGGTATACCTAGTAAATATCTACCTACTTAATAATAAAGAAGAAAATAAAGTTTAATCGATAATATTGTTTTTAAATAAAGTCGTAAATATTAAACACATGAAGTTCCTATCTTCATTTTTCACAAAACATATAAGTCTTTTAAGCCAACTTAATGGAGAGAGAAACCATGATTCTTACTCACACATATAAGCTTTTGAACGACAAAGAATTAAATCAATATCAAGAAACTATAAAATCAAGGTTTAGTTCCCAGTGCCATTTGAGTTTTTTTTAATGAGGGAGCCAACATTTAAGCTGTATATTTATTTTTTCATTATAGCTCGTAGGTACGCATACATCATAAATGATACATGTATTATTTATGTAGATATATTTATAGCACATAGGTATTGCATGGAATCGAAACGGATCAAATATATATAATATTTAAATGATTCCAAAAAATTGGAATGTTGGAAGTTGAAAATAGCTTTTGTTTGAATACCAGTAATATAGCCAATAAGTAGGTACACATATAGTAATAGTATAAAATATAAATTACTACTTTATACGGACTAATGACTATATGTGTATATTATATACGCATTATCGTTTTTAAATAAATTAGGTGTGTATATTTTAACTTATATGCGTTGGACGTACATAGGTCGTGGGCGTGTTAGTAAATCTTAGGACAAGTCAAAAATTAATAAAACACTGAAATTTGTGATTTTTGTCCGTCTAAATATTATTTAAGTTGCAAGTTATATACCTATCACGGTTTTCATTCAAATTCTTTACAACATAACAATTTCTAAACCTCTCTATTCCATTGATAATTTAAGAAACAAGCCTTTAAGTTTTAAGTTATAAGTATCAAGAAACTGATTTATAAGAAATTGAGAATCCCTCTTTTCATTCAATTTAAATCTGTTGCTATAAACAATTAACATATTAAACTTCAATTTAAACTAAATTATACATTACTTAATTAAGTCCATATTTTATTGATAAATAAAGGTATAGCATAAAATAAATATGGGAATAATCCAAACCATCACTTTTTAAAAATGTTTTATTTACATTATATCTTACTTTATATTAAATGAAATTTCGATAAGTTAACTCAAAATAAGTCTCTATTAATTACAGTAAAAAAGCAATACATTGTTTATAGTTAAAAAGGTAATGTTCACAAGTGATGTGAGTATTAAGAATTCCAGTCTCGTATTTAAAAGAAAACAATTTACAATTTTCAAATGTTCATAATTTAAAATTTAAATTAAAAAAAAAAGATCTTTCAAGATACCTTAGATAATATTAGTTCAACATAAAAGCAATTTTTTTTTCATCTATTTTCTTTACAATACTTTTCAATTGCCCAATGTGTTTAAAACTGAGATATAAATAGTCATGAATTAATTATATTCAAAGATTCATAATAATCACCAAACAACAAATAACATAAAATGTCTTAATTAGTAATAACTCATTTTGTAAAAAATCAATGTTATTAACATGATGTATTAAATTTATGATAATCCCAAAGGATAGATACCTCCTATACTGAAATAGGTGTAATTACTAGTTTATACTTAGATGTCAGTTTAACTCAATTTAGAATATTATGTACTTAACACAACACAGGTGTTGTGTCAAACAATCGATTATAGATGTTTTACTATAATTTGCAATCATTATTCTTTTTACATACTTGTATAATACTAAGTATAAACTATAATTACATAATATATAATATGAATATTATATTCTAACAAATATAATAAATTAAAAATTGATTTTCCTGTGATTAAATATAAATAAACTATATTTTATTCAAATCATCCCATTTTTTTTTTTTTTTTTTTTTTGATATAATGAGATAATATACAATTGAGAAGAATCAAAATATACAATTAATAGGTAACATTACACAGAGAATTACTAAAAACGTATAAATGTTAATTTAAATGAATATTTTTAACACATTTAAAAAATATATATATTTGTGTATAGGTAAGTACATTGAGATTAAAAATAAATATACATGTAGATAAGGTCATAAAATACTTAATAACTAAATACATAAATTAATTAATACAATTGTACTTTGGTAATAAATAGATAATTGGAATTTAAATTTATTTATTATACTTTACCAGTCTTTCTTTCATACAATGCTGAAACACATTCTTGTACATAATGCAAGCAAGATGTTTTCATTAAAAATCCACCAGCAAGTTCTTGAGAACTTTCTCTCCTGATGTAATTCATATATCCTAATGACTCTAATTGTGTAATTTCTGGACAAGCAGGGCCATTAAGTTGTTGACAAATTGGCTCATATTTGAATAATGGTCCTTCTTTTATTGAAATTGGTATAGAAGACTGATTGAATTTGACACCGGTTGAAAACTTAGTGAAGTTAATAGGCGGTATAGAAATAGGTTTTGGTTTTGGGGCAGGAATTTCTTCCTTTTTATGTGTATATGTGTTAACAATATCTCTAGCATCAGAATTAGAGCGTGCTAAACTATCAATTAATTCAGAATCTACTCGAAGTTTTTTATTTCTCTGTTCAGCTTCATCTCTTAAAACTTCATCTCTTTTATACTGAGAATGCATCTTTTCTTCTTCAATTAATTCATCTAAGGCTTGTTCTTCACGTTTCAATTTCATTCTGTTCCTCATGATTATTTCTTTATTTTCTCTTTTATATTGATCAATACGTTCCTTTGTTTCTGTTACATTAATATTTCTAACTAAATTATAAATAATATCTTCAATTTCTACTAAATATTCATTATATTCATCTAAAGAATCAAAATCATCTTCAGTTTTGTTGTAATCTTGCAATATTTTTTTTCGTGTTTCAACTTCAACGTCAACTGAAGCATCTTCAAACTGCTGAAGTTTAAAACCATTACGCCGAAGAGGAATATGACATTTAGGGCAAGGACCAGAACCTGAAACAGAAAAAATGATTAATACAAGTAATTTAAAAAGTTATTACAAATAGAAATACACGAAGTTAAAAAATATCGATATGTAATATAAAAAAATTAATTTGAAAATAGCAATAGCATTGATTTAAAAAATATAAATAGTTTAACAGTTTGTGCTAATTAATTTAATGCTATTGGTCCTTATATTACTGTTGTTGCCATTGACAGGGGTAGAAGCCAAAGGTATATTCTTCACTTTAGTAAGAATATGGATGAGTAGACATTTGTGTACACTATAAAAGTTTAATATTTTGAAAATAAATTCTTCTCAAAATTATAAATTATATTTTTATTTACATATTCAACTTCAAATAATATTATATATGGGTATATACAAGCAAATTTTATAAATATTATTAGTTTCTATGAAAACAAATTGTAAAATATATTGGTAATGCAAAAAATAGTACAAAGACTTGTATGCGACCGTGTATGTTGTATTTATTTAGGCATAGATTAGAATTAAAACTATTCAGTTAAATAGTTTAATCTTCAAATTTTTCAGCCATAAGATAAATCAAAATAATACGAGTACAATAAAATTTTCAAATATTTAAAAAAATAAACAAAAATAAATTAGTTTGGTATTTACTTTGTTAGATATAGTGGGTACTGTAAGACAAATTGGTAATGCATGAAAAATACAAGAAACAAATTTTCTGCGACCGTGTAAGTCATTATTAATATAGGCATAGTTTTGAACAGGAGTAATGAAAAATTATCAATTCTCTGTCTTCGACTTGCCA